ATGACGATGAACTTATGGAAACGCAAACTTTAATTACCAGCGACGGTAACATTAGCGCCGCTAGTAGTAGTAGTTTCGAGAAAAAACGCGCTCAATCAGCGGAAATGATACAAAAAATACTTAATAGTGTTCCGAAAAGTTATCGTAGTAAAGCACGCTTGATAATGAAGCAACTGCTCCTTACTCCGTCATCTAAGATTAACTGGAATAGACAAGGGCTCGTAACTATAGACGGCGACATTGTGGAGGGTTCGAATATCGCGGAACTTATAAACGATGCGGTACGCGAGAGAAAAACGGTAGAAGCAACCGGAAGAAATCAGTTTGCTCGATTACTACGTGACATAGGTACGTCACCGCGTCTCATAGGAAATCAAAAGTTATTAAAAGTAGGCGCGCGATCTCGCTATATTACTACCGCGTTACCTCGCGGATCCTCCACTCCGATCACACGTTCAAAATCGCACAGTCACAGGTTAGACGAAGCGAGTGAAACCGAAGGAGATACGCAATTTATATCCGCCGACGAAGAAGGTGACGACGACGGTGACGACGATAGAACATTACCATATAACGTAGTTTCTCCGTCAAAGAGAAGAAGAGGTTTACTCGATTGGATAAATCTCAATTGATGGAATTCGAAAAATTGTATTACGACCCCTCGCATTATGCAGGCTACTCTGCGGTGGACAATTTATCGCGAGCCGTTAAACCGAATTTTACGCGTAACAAAGTCGTCGAGTGGCTTAAATCACAGGATGCATACACGCTGCATCGGCCGGTACGACGAAAATTTCCTCGTTTACATTATAACGTAACAAATATCGATGATTTATGGGAAGCCGATTTAATCGATCTTCGTAATCTCAAGAGCTATAATGACGGCTATTCTTATCTATTAACGGTTATCGATGTGCTTAGTAAATTTGTTTGGGTAGAACCTTTACGTGACAAAACAGCTACCTGCGTAATAAAGGCCTTTCAACAAATATTTTCGAGAAACGAGGGTCGACTACCTGTATACTTACAGACCGACAAAGGCAAAGAATTTATCGCCCGCCCTGTACAAAATTTCTTAAAAGAAAAAGACATCCGTTTTCGCGTAACGCGCAATCCCGATATTAAAGCGTCTATAGTGGAACGATTTAATAGAACACTCAAGGAGCGGATGTGGCGTTATTTTACGCATAAAAATACACGTCGTTACTTTGATGTTTTACAAGATATTGTTCACGCTTACAATCATACTCGTCATTCCACCATCAAAATGCAACCCGCTGTCGTTACGCGAGAAAATGCTCGTACCGCGTGTGAAAATATGAAACGACGATGGGATAACGATAAAGAAAAGAAAAAGAAGCGTGGGCGTAAACAAAAGGCTAAATACCGCGTGAACGATCTCGTACGCGTCAGTAGAGCAAAAGTAACGTTCGAGAAAGGATACGAGGCGAAGTGGAGCGAGGAGATATTTCGAATTCATCGAGTTCTCGAATGGAGAAAACCCCGCGTATATGAATTAAGTGATTTATCGGGTGAAATTATAGACGGAATTTTTTACGAACAAGAATTAGCACCGGTTATTAAAGACTTACGCGACGAGGAATTTATCGTCGATCGTGTGATAAAAAGCAGAGGACGCGGTAACAATAAACAATTATTAGTTAGCTGGCAAGGTATCCTTCTAAATTTAACTCCTGGATACCCGCTTCGAATTTAACTATTCTTCGAAATGAGGGTGGATCAATTTCTTCTGGTTCTTCCAAGCAATAGCAGTATACGCTATTCCCCCGACAATAAAACCTCATCGTTCATTACGGAATTACCTCAATCGCTGCACTTACACGGTGACTGGGAAGTCGCGTTGAGCGAAATCCAATTCCCTAATACCTTTTTTCATGTAAGGCGCGGAAAAATGTACTCAGTTTCGTCGATATCGACCCTCAAGTTAAAGAGAAAAATAAAGAAGATGAGGTGTTAACTTCGAAGGAAGCCGTAATATCAAATGGCGTTTATAATAATATGGAAGAGCTCGTCTCCACGATTAATTCGTCGTGCAAAGAAACCGGTTCCCATATTCGTTTGGAGCAAGAAAAATTTACAGGCGGTAGTATTTTTTTCTTCCTCGCGTGTCCCGCTGGTTGCAATCTGATTCATTATATGCATTTTTCCGATAGACTTTTGCAAATGATCGGTTTAGCTGATTTTATTTATAACGCTCCTAAGGGGAGAAGTCACTATTGTTCTATGCTCACGACATCTAAGCTTAATTCCAAAGAAAAATCTACTTCAATTTTTCTTCAACTCGGTTCTCTTGACGAAAATGGAGTACGTCGCGAAGGATTCTATAGTTACGAAGCGTGTAGTTTGGCGCGGGGTATTCCCGATAAACTGTTCGTTTATTGCGATATTTGCGAACCTTACATAACAGGCGATGTGCAAACTCCTCTTCTCCGAATAGTGCCTGTCACAGGGGTGGGGCGCGATTACGAATATGGAACGAATCAAGTGAAATATTTCTCACCTCCGCATTATATCCCGGTGCGCCTAACAAATTTCCGACGGATTGAAATCGATATAAAAGACGATACTGGAAAAAATATACCATTTGAATCCGGCACGTTAACGGTGACTTTACATTTTAAACGTATCGATTAGATTTTTAAAAATACTCTGTAAAGATTTTTTTGATAAGAAAGAAGGATTTTGTTCATTAATATGGATTATTATTCGGAGTATTATAACGGATTACAAAACGGTGGAACTCGCGGCGGTGGAATTCCACGAGTTTTTGTCGGTTCACCCTATCAACGAGGTCATGGAATAGGTAGTTTTCTCGGAGGAATGTTCAGACGCGTATTGCCTTATTTAACTAGAGGACTAGGGGCAGTGGGTAAAGAAGCTTTGCGCGCCGGGGTTAATATAATCGAGGATGTTGAAAATAAAATGCCGTTAAAGGTAGCTGTCAAGCATCGTTTTGAACAATCGCGTGACAATCTTAAGAGAAAAGCTAGGGAAAAAATAAGTAGTCTAATGAAAGGTAGGGGATATAAATCGGATGAAAAAATTCATGTAGCGCAGTTTCCTTTCGGCAGGCTTAAGACTCACGTCGCTAAATCCTCGGTAACCGCATCGCGTAAACGTCGTAAGACAAATAAGAAAAAAAGTTTATCGAAAATCAAGTCGCGTGGGAAAAAAGAACAAATACAAAAAAAACTAAAAATAATACGAGGAAAAATCGCTCGACTGTAAAAAGACTCAAGTTGTCCGCGAAACGGCGTAAAGCTAATAGCGGTAAAAAGCGTACAGTATACGATATATTTTCATAATCGCCATTATTCTAAATACGCTTGTTCGTGACAATAACGTTGGTAGAGCAGGCGGTGAAAGAAAAAATGTCATTTCATTTCTTCACACACACTCGAGCGAGTGTTTAAAGAGCGAGCTCGATCTCTTCTCTTTACCGCCCACGCAAACTAGCATCGAAAGTTCGCAATGGATTTATTACAAACCCGTGACCTCGCTTTCGGACGACTCCCCGCTAGAATTCGTCATCCCGGGTCACGGAGAAGAATATTTAGATCTCACACACACGTTACTAAGTCTTCGGGTACGTGTAGAAACCGAGCCGCTACCCGGTCTCGCCACCGGATCCGCCGTCAACGTGGGCCCCGTAATCTTTTCTTCATTCCATCTTCAATCAAATCGACGTTATTTCAATCAAAAGCTCGTGTCGCCTCCAAACAACGCTTATGCTACCGCGCGTACATCGAAGCGTTGTTAAATTATTCTCACCCGCAAAAACTTCCCATCTAACCTCGTGCTTATGGGATGCGGATACACCTCACATGGACGATACAGTAGGAAATACCGCTATAGCGAGACGAGCTCGTTACATACGCGGAGGGCGCGCGCTTCTTATAGGTCCCTCCATTGCGACGTTTTCAATCAGGACAAATTCTTAATTAATGGCGTCGAGCGGTTAGACTCGTGCGCTCGAAAGATACTTTTGTTTCCTAGATCTAATTGCACGTCGAAAATTCCATACTCGATGCAAGCCTAATGGTGAGAAGAGCATTTCCGGAGTTTACTAGCGCATGCTAGAATCTGGCGTTACCGCCAGTATCGCTTACTGAAATTAATCATTCACGATTCTTTGTTGAATCCTTAGATAATGTAATCTGGGACAATTCCGAAACCAATAATAGTAGGTTCCGTCGATAATAAAGCTCCTAACGGTGACAGAAAATTGAATCCGTTTAATTTCCAAAATTACGGAATAAATTTCTTCTCGCTTACGTCGACGGTACCAATACCCATAGACCGTTCCAACCTTTTCTCTTCTCGCGAACCGCTTTTTCGGCTCTTATCCTATCTTCTCAGGGAATCCATTTAACCTGGCGATTCTCTTAAATATATCTCAGGTATCTTTCTTCCTTTTCATCCTTCCACCCGATCTTCCAATTCCACCTTCATTGTCTCCACTCTTCTCGAAAAGATTCGAGATCTCCCAAACTTTTAAACTTTCTCTTTCCTATTCCCCATACTTGCCCCATAATATCGCCGCTCTCCTCATCCTATCTTCACTTGTCCTTCTTGTCCTCTTCCTCTGTAGTCTATATCCCAGTACGTAAACTCCTTCCTTTTCCTCCTCTCTCCTTTCCATCTCCACTCCCTCTTCTTCCATCTTCCTCCTTTCTCCTAAACCTCATTATCTTCGTCTTCTTTGCGTTCAGCTCCAATCTCTTGTTGTCTAGATATTCTTCTAACCTTTCTACCATACTTCTCAGTTCCTCTTCCTCCTCTACCAACACACCATATCATCCGCGTATGCCAATGTATAAATCCTTTTTTCTCCTTTCTTACTCCTCCTCTTTTCCCCATTTTTTTCTTCCGCTATTAGGCTTGAATAGTATTGGACTCAATGGGCAACCCAACCTTTCTCTCCAAAAACTCTCTCCAACTTCTTCCCCTATCTTTATCCTGCATGTTGTCTCTCTCACATCTCCATCTCAATCCTTTCTCCTCCTCTCTCCTCCTCCATTGCCTCCATTAATTTCTCCCTGTCTACCGAGTCAAATGCTGCTCTCAGATCTATAAACAATGCCGTTAGCCTTCCCTCTTTTTTTTCCAGTTGTCTATTGATTAGATAATTCATCACGTATATGTTGTCTATTGTTCCCATTCCTCTCCTAAACCCCATCTGATTTTCTGGCACTATCCCTTTTTCCTCCACATCCTTCCTCAATCTTTCTGTCAGTATCATCGTGTAAACCTTATACATTGATGGCATCATGGTTACTCCCCTGTAGTCTTCCACCTCCTTTCCATCCCCTTTTTTCCTTATCGGTGTAATCACTCCCTCTATCCATCTCTTCGGCCATCCTTCTCCTCTCCATATTCTATTACAAAAATCCAGCATCCAATCCTCCACGTTCCCTCCTCCATACTTCCATACCTCATTCGGAATCTCATCTATCCCTGTCGCTTTTCCTGCTTTCAGCTTCTTTATTGCCTCTCTCATTTCCTCTCTACTTATTTCCTCCTCCTCCTCCTCCTCCCTCCTCCTCCTCCTCTGTCCTGTTCCCCTCCTCTCTTCTTTCCTTTCTTACCTTTCTCTCCTCTGTTCCTCCTAACAACTTCATAAAATATTCTCTCCACTTTCTCATCTCAATTTCTTCGTTTATTCCTTTCCATCTTCTTCTCTCTCTGTTTATTATCTCCCATACCTCCGATTCTCTTTTCACCTCTGCTGCCTTCTTTTCCCATTTCTCGTTTTCTTCCTTTTTCTTCCTCTCACACAATCTCTTGTAATCCCCTCTTCTCTTCCTATATTCCTCCCCCTCACCTCCTTCCCTCCACCATCTCCTCAGCTCCCTCCTTACCTTTCTTTTCTCCTCTCTGCACTCCCCATCCCACCATCCTCTTTTCTCCTTCTTCCCTTTCCTCCAGTCCTCCTCTGTTGCTCTTAATACTTCCTTCATCCTCTCCTCTATTCTTTCCCATTCTCCATCTATCTCTTCCTCTCCTCCTCCTATTTCTCCTATCTCCTCCACTTTTCCCTCAAAAATCCTCCGGCCCTCCTCATTCCATACTCCTCTCCTCCCTCCTCTCGACTTTCTTCTCTCTCTTCTCTGCCATCCTTCTATCTCCACTTCTATTGGGTGATGATCTGAGTCCACCTTGTCTCTTATTCTTAACCTTCTCACCTTCTCTCCGCTATCCTCATTCCCAATTACGTAATCTATAACCGTGTTCCCTCTTCCTCCTGTAAAAGTCCATTCTCCCTCCTCATCTCCCTTTGTGTTACCGTTCATTATGCTCCAACCTCTTTCTCCCATGAATTCCAGTAGTTTTCTTCCCTCTGCATTGATTAATTTGTCTTTCGACTTTCTTTTCTTTTCCTCTTTCCTCTCCTCTTCCGCATTCTCCTTATCTCTGATTCTACCCCCCTCTTGTCCTGTCCTCGCATTAAAATCTCCTCCTATTATCGTGTAAACCTCCTCCTCTTTCTCCTCCGTCCACTTCTCCATCTCCCTGCACGCCTTCTCTATTCCTTCTCCTACGTATACTCCTATCACCCTCCATTTTTCCTTCCCTATCTTTACTCTTCCTACCACAAAGCCCTCCTTACTCAGCTCCATCATTCCTCCCTTCTCTGCAATCTCCTTTTTTATCCCCATAATCATGCCTCCTTTCGCTCTTCCTCTCTTCTTCTTTCTACTTGCTCCTTGCACTCCCCATACGTATCCTTTCGGTAGGTACCTTCTCATCTTCTTCCATCCTTCCTCTTCCATCCATGTTTCTGATAACACTATTACATCCCATTCCTCTAATCCTTTCCAAAAATCTATGTCCTTATTCCCTACTCCCGCTACGTTCCAGAAAACTACCTTCCATCCTTTTCCTCTCTTCTCCTTTTCCCTCTCTCTCTCTATCTCTACTTTAGCCCATCTTCCTTTCTCCTCTCCTCTTCCCCCATTATCATATTCTTTACATTTCCCTTCTCATCTCTCAGCACTTCCTTCTCCTCATCCCATCTCCACCATTTTTCTCCTATTTTTAACTTGCCATTACTTACCCATGTCCTTTCTCCTCTTTTCTCTTCTCTCCTTGCTATCTCTCCCAACTTTCGTCTTATCTCCCTTTCTTTCCATGTTAAATCCGTGTCTATCCTTTCTTTTCTGCCTTTCAGCCTCTTTTTCTTCTCCATCACTTCCCATTTCTGTTCTTCCTTCTCCAATTCCACCACCACCATTTCTCTCCCCATTTCTCTATCCTCCCCTATTTTCCTTATTTTCATTATCCTCGCTCTTGCCTCTATCTCCTCTAACAATTTTTCGGCTCCCTCTCTTCTTTTCCCCTCTTTGACTAATAAGCCTTTTATTACTATATTCTTTCTTTTTTCCTCTTTTTCTAATATCTCCCATTTCCTTTCCATTTCCCCTACTCTCTTCTGTAAACCATTCCCTGTGTGCTCTCTTCTTTCTCTCTCTCCCTCCTCCTTTTCCTCCATCTTCCTCTCCAGTCCCTCTATCCTCCTCTTCATACCTTCCATGTTCTCTATCATTTCTTTCTTCTCTCTTTTTCCACCTTTCCATCTGTATCTTGTAATCTCTCCTTATCTCCTCCATCTCTCCTCTTATCCTCTCTCCCTGTTCCTTTATTTCCTCCCTGATCTCCCTCATTTCTTGCCACATATCTTGCAACAATCTTTTGATCTCTTCCTTCTCTCCATCCTCTTCACCACCTTTTTCCGGTGATCTCGTTGTCTTGTTGCTTCTCTTAAAGATCTCACCGCTCCCTTCTCCCGTTTTTTCCTCTAACTCCCTTTTTTTCCTCTTCAGTAGATCTTCTATATTCCCTAGACTTCCACTTCTTTCTTTTCCCTTTTTACCTACCGATCCTATTATTCCTCCTCCCTCCGCTCCCTTGCCTCCCTCTTTCTTCCCGCTCCACATGCTTTCAGACCCTTTTAATCCAAATCCTCTCCGCTTTCCTCTCTATACTCTTCCTTTCCCCTGTCCCTCTCTTTGCCTACTTCTCGCCACTCTACGTTCTTCCTAATCCTTGCTTCTTCTTTCCTAAATTCCCTAGCTATTCCCTAGCACCTTTACTCTATTTTTCTGCACCCCGCTTTCTTTCTTTATACCCTATACTCCCTGCCCACTCTCAGCTGTCACCAGCCTCCTATTTCTCTCTTTCCTACTTTCTCTGTCTAACTATCCTCTCTCACACTACTCTCTCACCCTCTCACTCTTCTCCCTCTTCCTTTTCAAACTATCCTCTCCACTATCTCTGTGCTCTAACCCCTTTAATCGCCCTCAACTCTTCACTATCACACACCACGTGTACTCTAATTCTGCACCGGAAACGGAAGTCCCAGTTATTATTAATTGATGTTTACATTTATTTTTAGACTTACTAGAGCTCAAATGCTCCACATTTTTTGCAAAAACTGTTTATTCTACAGATTTCAAATATGCTTTTAAATGATGATTGAATATTTCCTTTTTTTTAATATTTTTATTATTATTTTTCAATCTCAATCAACTTTTATAACTTTATGCCAGCACGATACAAATACATGTGTCTTTATTTTTTTATTATTTTCATTATTATTTTTCAATCTCAATCACCTTCTATAACCTTATGCCACAGATACAAATACATGTCTTTATTATTGTATCAACTCTTGTCTTTCCATGTAACCATGTCTTCATAGTTGAATTATCCCTTCATCTTCTCAATCTTTCGCAGAGATTTAATTAATTAAATACACTTCACACGAAATAAGTTTGCTGGAAGATATACAGCAAACGATAACTGTAAAAATGATTACTTGGAAAGAACAAGAGTTGGTACAGTAAAGGCAAGTAAGTAAGTACATGTAATGTATCGTATTGGCATAACGCTATATCCGTGGAGCAGATAATGTGGCTGTAGAGGTAGTCTGCAGTGCAGCTAATGTGGACGTAGATGTTGATTGAGATAATTGTCTAATATAAAATAGAATTTAAAAATTTAGTTTAAAAAGCTGTTGCATATATAAATAAAGTTTATTTTTTCTAAATTTGGAATATGTTTAATTAATTAATTTTTTAAGTCTATGTTTAATAAATTTTTTAAGTCTGTATTCAATAATTTTATTCATTTGATAAATACATGTATGTCTTTATTTTGATATGTTTTATATAATTAGAAATTCATTATTAATTAGATATGTAAACTATAAATTCATATATAATATTTGAAAATATATGTGAATATTTAAATTTTTATCTTCTCCTTCCTCTCCTTCAATCTCTTTAATATCAATATGTGTATGTGTGTACACGCGCGCACATTTGTACGTATTTATTTAATTATTGGATAGTTGAGAATACTTAATTGATAAAAAATTATGACAATAATAATTCTGTTTTTTTTTCTTATTATTTACTCAGATTTTTTTGTCTATCTTATAAGATAACACTTTAGAGATTGAATATTTCAAGTAAACTAATTGTAGTAAATTTCACATTAATGCATATAGATGTTTAATCATGAATGTACTAAATAAGTACACAAGACGAACAGTGAGTGAGTGAGTGAAATGAGAGAGTGTGTGTGTGTGTGCGTGTGGTGTGTGAGAAAGAGAGAGAGAGAGAGAGAGAGAGAGAGAGAGAGTTAGCCAACTAACCCCGCACGTGCCGATATGGCGGAGCGCCACTATCGCATCTGTTGTAAAAGTGCGAGATGGACAAAATACCACTACATGCATCTTGCATGTGTTGTTGTACGTGTGATATATGTGTGCGCATGTGTTGTATACGTGTGAATACGTGTAGCACGATACTACTATGTATGCGTGGTCGATGAGATAATGAGATGATATGATATGATAATGATGACGGGGACGTTTCTTAATAAAATTTTTCATATTTCGACTTTGCATTTATATATCTCTGCTTACAAATCACGTAGAGCAGAAATAAAGACACTTTTATTATATAATTCGAACTCAATCTATCGATTAAGTCTAGTATAAACTCGATTGCTTCAGCCATTATTGAGGATTCGAAATATTATAAAGACTCAAATGTCCGACTTGCGTTAAGATACACGGTGTCTCCGCTACGCCCTTAACTGGTCGCGAGACACTACCGTGTCTCTTGATTACGTCATCGAGTGTTTACTCTTCGATAACTATTGTCACATATCGTTGCAAATAAATTAAACGTATAAAAACTGCTGTTGTACAAGCTGCAAAACTCTTTGATGCGTTCATGATTGCCGATAAGAAATAAAATATTTTATATTAAATAACTATAAAAGAAATTTTTTATAATATCCTAAAGTGAGTATATTACTTATTATAGCGTTATACGAAAAATAACATATCACCGTTATCGCAGAACAAAATTGTAATACGATATCGTAAGACACAGTAATATCGTAGAATAAAATAATTTATCACCACAATGAGTACGACAACATTGTATTTTAACGATACAACTTATTGGCTTCTGACCGCACTTGCCGTAACGTTAATTTGCATTGTACTATTTCATTGAGCATTCTAGAGCAGTTCGTCTCATTAAAAAATGCCAGGTATGTATTCTACAAAATTAAACTTTTTAATTTAAAAAGCAATAATATTTTTCCTTTTGGTCGTTACTCAATAAAAATTTTTAGGTGAATTATTATTTTATCTAATTTAATTTAAAATATTCTTTATCACAAGGTCCACCATCCTTACCTATCATAGGCCACCTACTAATACCTCTTGCAAAGTCTCCAGAAGACATATTTAATACAACTTTGAAATATCGTGATATATATGGATTAGCAGCAGCCTATATATTGGACATAAAGTAGTAGTCTTTCTGGCAGATCCACAAGATATTGAAATAATTTTAAGTAATCCTGCGCATAATGAGAAAGCTGTGGAATATGAGTAAAAAAAATCAAAAATTCTACATCTATTATATTGCTTTTATATATTATATACAATAAAATTAATATATTATATAATATTAAGATATTACTCGGCTCTCGAAATCAACATGTAATTTTATAGTAGCCTAACGCAATGTCTTTTGCGTCGATAATTAGTGAAAAATTTATTTTTGCAATAACATCGCGTTAAGCTCCTACAGCCGACTATTTATAAAATTATATATTATTTCATGCTTGAAGTACTTCACGTAGTACAATATTACGTAATGCAATATTAAGAGGCAGAGATCAATAGTTTCAAATCTTTCTTCTCCTTATTACAGATTCTTCGAACCATGGCTTGGAGATGGTTTGCTTATCACAAAAGGCGATAAGTGGCACAGACATAGAAAAATAATAGCGCCCACATTCACATGAGTATTTTAAAGACATTTGTACCTCTGTTTTATAGAATATATAGATCTCGTGAGACGGCTTCGCAATGAAGTTGGAAAAGAATTCAACTGTCATGATTATCTATCAGCTGTAACGGTTGATATTTTAACAGAAACTGCAATGGGAGTTAAAAGAAAAAAGGAAAAACACTGGATACGATTATGCCATGGCAGTGATGAAGTAGATATTGTTTTTTTTTTTAAAATTATAATATTATATTATTGAATTTTTATATATAAAAAAGAATTCAATATAATTCAAATATTGTAGAATGAGCGATATTGTACATCGAAGGCATTATAATGTTATATTACGTTCTGAGTTACTTTTTAAATTTACCAAGTTTGCGAAGAAGCAAGAGAAAATGCTCAATATTATTCATACGCTGATAAATCATGTTATTAAAGAAAAATCGAAGGAT